TTTTGTACTGGTCAAGTTCAAGTTCAATTGGGACCGGAACAGTAGGAAAATCCCGCGAATGTTCCACCTTTGAAAACGTCGTTGATCCAACAGGGAAACCGGTGCCTTGATGTGCCAAAGGAGAGCCAAATCAACACACACGATTCATATGGTCAACCAAACAATGCCCACGTGCCCTGCACTAGCAGTCCCCGCTGTGCCGGCCACGTGAAGAATAAAAGAAAACAGTAGTGTCAGTAAAGAAAAGGAAACAGAGAAGACAAGCTAATCGAATATCGTAGGCAATATTAAAATGTAAGTTAAAATGAGTTAAAGAAGCGTAAGCCGTAATAGACGCAGAAAAGTTTAAGACACGAAGGGGAAGACTTTAAACTGCAGACCGAGAGCGTCAAGTCGATGCTCGAACTCTTTCAACGTCGGTGCCATCACGACGTCTGCAGGCAATGTGTTCCAATAAGCTATAACCCTACGCGATAATCTAAAAGTTGCCAAAACCCGGTCAGACCGGGGTTTGTGCAACTTTAATGGGTGGCCACGAAGGGTTGGCATTCGAGTTGGGCGAAACAGTCCAGTCAAATCAGGACCAATCTGACCCATCAATATACGATATGTAAGGACCAAGTCGCCCCGAAGCCGCCTGTAATACATGGAAAACATATCCAACTTACGTAGCCTCTCCGGGTACGTCAGCTTCTTTAAGTCGTACACCATTTTCGTCCCGGACCGCAGGACTCGTTCAACTGCCATCTTATCACGAACCAGGCATGGAGGACAAGCCTGGACGCAGTATTCTAAGTGCGGCCTTACAAAAGCCGAAAATAGTCTAACAAACATGTCGGTGGTCATGATCCCGAATGACCTGCGGATCATCCACAACATGTTGAAGCCTTTACTTGTAGGCCGGTACAGCTTTCGTAATACCAGTGGCAGCAGACGTCACACTGCATACCACCAGATGCATCTGTTACTGGCTCTGAAAAGTTAACCTGTCCACAAGCTGCAGTATACTCATCAAACGAGGACCCCATAGGTCCATCCGCCTCGGTGTTTAGCGAGACAGCCATGTTTATGTGGAAAACAGATTAGAATTACGGCGCGTATACAATAGGAAAACGACCGCAATAAAAAGGCAAAAACAGGGTATAAAACGGGATTAAAACTGGGAACAACCGGAAAAATTACCAGTTAGCGTCAAAAACGCTTTGGCCAGTACCAATTTAATCGATCCAAGATATCTTGGATCAGGGAAAATTTGACAATAGTCAAATTTCTTTTCAAATGTTAATTCAAACACTGTTTTCCACATTATTTCAGCTGTAAAGCTTGATCAGTATGGCACGCTAAAAAATCGTGTTACCGCGTAGTACTCGCAAAGAAACCGAATTCTTAGGGAAGGGCTAAATTTTTGTCATGGCGGGAAAGGGTTGCGCTACCGTTGTCCTCGGTAACATCCAAGTTTGTTTGAGTGGCTGCAGAGTATATTCGTAATTTTGGTGGTATCATGGTGCGGGGAAAGAGAAAAAACGGTTATGATAAATTAAAGTGATGACTACAGACGAAGTTGTAGTTCACGGCATAATGGAAAGCAGGCAAATGCTAAATAAAAGCAGTGTAAACGGCCGATTTACGGAGCAAATAAGTGCTAATACAATTGTTTTTTGTATGTAAAGTCTATGCTTGTAGTAAGTTACTTGCTTGGATAAGGGATATAATTATCTCGTGTCTGATTATTATTTTTTTGTATTTTTTAACTTCGCGATAAATGGAAGCGAAATTTACAACTAATATATCTTATCTACTACCACTTTTTGTACATACTTAAGCACAAAGCGACCTATACACATCGCTTTCAAATAGGGTTATGAAAGCATCAACATTTAGCCAGGTGTACCGGAAAACGAAGCCCCTCCAGGCCTATTTTTCATGTCAAAAATTAGCCACTCTCCAATTCCCCATTCTTGGTTGTTCCCCAAGGGTCAGTCCTCGCGTCTTAATTCATTAGTCTTCATCAACAATTTACCCACCACCTTTCAGATATACTGTTTAATCTCTGCGGATGTTCTGAACCTATGGATGAAGGCATACAATGTGGTTGATGCCGAAATACTAGAGTTGCCGTTCGATCTTCTAAACTGCGTGTCAGTCAGCTGGCATTTGCCATTTAATCATGTCATTTCTTCCGGTACAAGTGGCACACCATCACGCCCAGCTGTTTGTTGTATCCAAGGTGTACTGGGTAACTTTACTACGCACTACTTTACTACGAACAATTTTAAGCCTTCGGCACAGTGTCACCATGCTGCCAACAAAGCACGGCACGAGTTATTTCGTTTTAGGAGGGCGCTGAGTAACACTAAAGCAGAAGTATTCTTGCCCTTATATAAAACATTGGTCAGGCCACATCTGGAGTATTGTGTTCAGGCCTGGTCACCTAATCTCCGAAGTGACATCATTTGTATAGAAAAGGTTCAGAAACTTGCGACCAGGATGATTGAAGGTCAACGAGGGAAGTCTTACGAAGATCGTCTAAGTAGCTTAGGATTATTTTCCTTGGAACGGCGCAGGTTGAGGGGGGATTTGATAGAGACGTTTAAGATCGTTAAGGGACTTAGTGAGATTAGTTCCACCCATCTGTTTGAGTTGGCTACGTCAGACCATCTGCGCGGGCATCGCCTGAAGCTCAAACATCGTAGAGCTCGTTTGGACATCAGGGGCAAAGTTTTTTACGAACCGAGTAGTTAACTACTGGAATAAACTTCCTTCGGATTTAGTGGAGTCTGAGACCGTAGAAGCCTTCAAAAGGGGTTTAGACAATTGTTGGTCCATCCTTTTTCCAGAGCTATTGTAGTTGTACTGGTATATATAGTGTATTTTGATGCTGGCATACGAAAATGCAGAGATTGCTCTTGTTCTTGCTTCATTCCATTGCAGAAGCAAGAAGAGACAATCCAACGTCGAAGTGCCGGGGGCCGCTTCACTTACCGGCACAAGAACTGGACGCTCGTTAGGCGGAAGCCTTTATCGTCCATCTGACCTGACCTGAATTCGCAAGCTGAATGACGCGATTTGCCTCTAGATTCCCACCAACTATCTTTTTACCCAATTTATGCCTCATGGTTACATGTCCTCGCGACATAAGTCGTACGCAATTCACAAGCTGTATAACACGATTTAATTATTAACTGCTTCCACCTATTCGCTCGCTCAGTCTCTGCCATGGTTACATGCCAGCCGACATAACCATTATGTACCTAGCGAGACGTATGTCTGGATCTCAATCTGGATGACCAAAGCGGACGCCTGCCTCATTTAATGAACGCTAGCTTACCGATTATCTATGTGATGTCGTTTCGTTGTTGCCATTGCTTTATTTCACTTCTTACTGTGGAAACCCTTCATTCACGCTATGCAACCCGTCCAGACTTTCCAGCTCCCTCTGACTGAGCCACGCCCCCCAAGAGCCCAGCCCATTGCGTTCCCTTTCATGTGTTGTAAAGGGAACCAAAAAGCCAAGCATTGGCGAACTGTTATGTTCTTGGTATTCTTCATTAAGACACAACATCAACACACGGAAGGTGAAAAGACGAACAAACACTGATGAAGATGTGTCTCCGAGTGTGAAAGTTCGGAGAGATTGAACGTAGTACAGTGGAAAGGAAATAGCGTCACAGTCCAGGATAGGGTCAGTGACGAGCTGAACTGGAGTCAAATTCAGTTTTAGTTAATGAACATAACTGTAAACAGAGAGAATCAATTTGTTTGGAGGCAGCCCTGCTAACACGGGCCTAGTGAAATAATGGTCGTAAACCGATCGTGGGGGTCTTTATGTACGGTGGCAAGTACCGTTTGCATTCCTTTTGGATATTGTGAAAACCGGTTGTTTCGAAACTGAACGGGTATTGTCGACCCATATACATATTTTATTTTGATTCCAATTTGAGTAGCACTATAGTTAACATTTTGGCTTCCTTTCTTGTTTGAACCGAGCTTTTTACGCGTCACTCGAGCCCCAAGTGAATTTGTCGCTTACACAACGGTTGTTAATGCAATAAACCGGTCACAACTTCTCGAGATCCCGCTGACCGTCCGAGGCGGATTGTCAGCGGACTCCTGACAATCCGACAACGCATTGGTAGGAAAACGATTTCATGGCATGTAGAATAGACTATCGCACTCAGTAATTCCTCGTTAAAGATTAAACGCCATATTCTGTAAGAAAAAAGTAGATATTGCATTAAACCGGTTGCAAATTCTCGAGAGCCCGCCTCGGACGGTCAGCGGACTCCAGACAATCCGTCCGTGCTGGCAGCGCTAGTCTCTGCGGTCACCCGTTAATGCTTCACAAACCGCGCTCGGATCTCATTAAGACGGAAATTCGTCTGTCGCACTGAGTTATGAAGCGCTGGAGCTCACTTCCAGATGACGTTTCCAGGGAACCTAGGCCTAAGAGTTTTGCGGGTCGGCTCGATGCTCTTTGGTAGCACCACGAAAACTTTCCTTTCTCTTAACCGACTCGTCTTCAGCTTTAGTTTTTATCTTTCTTCACATCTCTTGGCGTTGTATTTATTTGCTTGCGTTCCTCTTTTTTCCCTCTGCTTTTACCGTTTCCTCTTCACGTAACCGGCCCAGCAAGGACTTCAGAGCAGGATACGTGGGCAGTAATTGGTAGGTTATTGTGTGATGCGCTTTTTGTTTTAAATACATCCACGTTTCAGAGCACTTCATCAGCTTATGATTCACTAGCCCGTTGAAGAAGAACCACCCATGTAATTATCCTATCGTTTCGATTGCACTTGAATTTGCGCCTACACTTTTCGACCTTGCTGGGTTACACATGCTGCGTTCGTGCTTCTTATTCTCACTGGTTCGGCTTTGACCTACCTGTGCCATCTGTTTTTTGTGTGATTACCATTGAAAGTCTGTATTTATCACTTTCAGGTTCTCTAGATTACCACATCTGCTCATTGAACCTTCTCACCTTGCGATATCTCATTGGCAGTATGAAGGCTCTGCAAGCCAATCAAGGAGTTTTCAAGAATTTTGATCGCCTTGTCAAACAGTTTCGTTTGTCAGTAAATACCTATTCTGACTCTCAACGCGCTAAACCTGTGAATTACGGTACGCAGTTTCTTTTCGTCTTATTCCCCGCAGTAATCATCAATGGTGATCAGTCTAAGGTTCAGTGGCCAAACCAAACTCTGGGCCCAATAGACCCAGTGAATCCAAAATATCCACTTCCAGGTTCTGTTGGGCTTCCTGCGACCAAAAACGAGTCTAGTGTCTATTCCTCATTCGTACCCGCTGTATGCACTCTACCTCAGATGCGGGAGGAAAACTATGCATCCATCCTTCTTGGTACTGATTGCACGAGCGAAGTGAGTTCGGAATTCGGTTGTGTACCATTATTAGTGTTTTACTTGACATGGTCAGTGAGCTCCCCGTTCATATAACGGCCATGCACATAACTGTAGCGAACCTTTGTTTCATTACACCGGCGCTACTCCGAATTCAAAAATTTGAATCAGTACCTTTATAACTAACGATAACGAATTTTATTGCGGATATCGGAGCAAGGCATCACGGTGCCAAGAGATTAGGGTGGTGGCCATGTACCTTCGACTCATCGAAAGTACCGTGTGTGCTTGTTTTTTCGGGCATTGATGCAATCTCAAGTAACGGACTCCAGTAGCACGTACCAATTATTCGACATTTATGCAGCTATCTTTCCACATAAAAATCGCTGACCATTTTATGCTATCATTTTAATATGAATGCTCATGTCATCCTGTTCCATTTTTGCTCCGACGAATTATTCCCAGTTAGACATCAATGACTTCCTTACCTGAACGTTCCCAATACTGAGTGCCCGGTTGCGTGAAAACCTTATCAAAAACGCCATAGATTTCATTACTACTCTCTCATAATGTTGATGACATTGACCATACCGTCCAGCAAGCTGACTGACTTCAACGCATGCAAGGCGGACTGTTCTGACTGATCTTAAGCTTGAGATTGCCTATTCCATGCTCTTCACGTCATTGGTTGTCCATGACGTGGATCTTCTTCCATGCACAAATATTGCTCGACGGAGACGACCTTAAGCTGGTATGTGCCAAACGTGGCCGAGCCAACGCTTTCATTGACAGGGAATGTTCGCTTCAATCAGTCAGTCTCGGACTTGTGTTGCCTTCCTACTATTGCCACCACACATGCACACTCTTTCACTGACAACCATTATCAAAACCTAACTATTGTTTTATGTCTTCCGAGCGAGTCGGTCACATCTCATTGCCTTACAATTGGGCCGCACGATCGGAGACATTGTACACACTGTTCTTGAGTTTAAGGCTGACATCGTGAGGACGCAATAGATGTCTGTTTGATTATCGCAAGGCGAGCCTTTGCGAACCGTTGTGAAACCCAAACACCGCCTCCAGTCATGATGAATATCCTTAGGTATGTGAGCAATGGACTTGTTTCAGAATGTCACCAGCAAGAATTAGGGCGAGTACAGACACCTGCCAATTCTTGGGCAGTGTTTTACATTTGCCTGGGGTGAAATACAAGCCTTACCTAGACGCGTCAATTGCGAAGCGTTTCAATGCGTTCTGAATGGCTTGTGGATTGTCCCTCAGCAAAGCTGTCGTTGGCGTAGTTCAAGTCCGCGAATCTGTCGCCAGGGGGAAGCTCAATTTTACAGTTTTAGACATCGTCTAATGCTCGTTGGACATGCTTGATGGCAAGCTTGATGAGCAAAGGTTAAAATGGTAATCTTAGCATGCGCCACTGATGCTAGCAACAGAAGGGGAAAGCCCGCCACATGCCCTGCTTTTGCCGGACATAGGTTTGTATAGTTCCTTCAGGAACGTTACAACCTTATCGGGTAGATCTTTCCTTAGTAAATAGTTCCGCTAAATCAAATGCTTCTCGGATGTTCAAGAACACTAAGATTACATGCACAATTTTCCTTTGATATTACATTAAATATTAGCTGAAGGGGAGAAACGCACTTCGGGTAACTGTGCCGCACTGCCAAAAACGAGATATATGAAAAGCGAGATACTGAAAGTTACATAATACTGAACTGCAAGTATGAGTGCCGAGTGTCATATTATACATGCGGTGTGAGGTCATTGTTTGCGGGGGAAGATAAACGTGAGGGGAAGGACTAAATAACTCACAACACAAACGTCACTGAGTCGGCTCTTCGCCACGTAAACCAGTGTATTTATCCAAACATGTTAATCCTCCTTAGAACCCCAATCTAGCAGTCGGGAGACAACAACCCACTCCCTCAGTTCGTTGTCCATCCATTGGGGCCTGGTGCGTGAAACGATGGTGTCGAGTTGTTTACTCGCTCTTCCTGCACCCAGTACGCGATGCCGAACGCGCTCATTTCTCAAACGGTGTTTCCACCAGACATGGTCTAAGCTGCTAGGACATCGAGGGTCAAACTTAGCAAGCCCCTTTAGGTCTGTCGATCTGTTAAGCTAGGTTTCTCAGTCGTACGGGAGGCTTGAACGCACGGCCGCGTTATAAAATCTGCGCTTTAGGGCGAGAGTGATGTCGTGCGGACGCCATAGGTGGTGGAAATTACCAAAGGCTCCTCGGACTTTTGTTATATGGTTTCCGTTCCTGTTTTTAAATTCCACTGGATGGTTAGTTGGATACACTAGCTGACATGGCGAAGAGCCGACCTTATTGGCGTTTGTGTTGTGATTCTTTTTGTCTCTCCCTTCTCCTTTAGTTTCCCCTACCAACAACGATCTCAAATCCAGTATATAATATGACATTTATTATTATTACTTTTTTGGTTTTCGTATCCTGTAATATTCAATCCTTTATTTTTTCGTAGAGGGTAGAAGTCACGATTAAACTCCACACGAAAATCTGCCTCGACGGGGAATCGAACCCCGGTCCACGAATTTCCGGTCCGTTGCTCTACCACTGAGCTACCGAGGGCTGATGATTAGGTGCGGAATTTAACACGTGACTTCTGCTTGTTGCACGACGTATTGCCAGTGATCTCACAGTAACTGTCCTGGTGTTGCAGATCGGCTCACTCACTCGTCACTTCCCAGTGGACCGAAGTAACTGTTTATCCGAAGTCCAAAGGGCGATGGTAGATTATTTGAAGGATGTTTGTGAGTAACGTAACTTACGTTACTCACAAACATCCTTTATTTTTTGTTGCGGCATCTTAGCTGAGGTATATTTCTCACCCTCGGCTAACATGTACTGATAATGACGATTGATTTGCGCTAATATAGTTGCCTAGGTACTTGGATTTCTAGATAACTTCCAGCTGATAATCACTAAGGATTAGCGTAGGAGTGGATCCCTGCCCTTGCACCTTGCATTTCCACGGTGTAAAGCATAACCCGAAATGACTGACAGCCAGTGCTAATCTGTCCAGTGCAGCTAGGCGCGCATGGGAGCTGTCACAGATTTGGACAATATTGTCGGCATACTCCAAGGCAAGAAATCGCTCACCTGGAAGCAGCTTCACACCTAAACCATGTCCTTTGAATGCCATTTCCACTACTTCGTCGGAGTTAAAATGGAAAGCTGACTGCGGGCAACCTTGTCTCACACCACTAGAGACATTAAAGTTGAACACAGCTTGCCATAAGCCATCATTCTGCCCAAAGTATGCGCTTACAGCGCTCTTTCCTATGCAGGCGGTCCCAAAAGATACATCGATCCACCGAATCGAAGACATTTTTGATATAGAGGAACACGATTACAGTGGGCCGCCAATGCATATGACGGTGCTCCAACAATCGACGCGAAGTAAATATGTGGTCCATGCTGCCTCGATTTCGGCGAACTCCTTCTTCTTCTTGCCACTCTGACTTTCATGAGTGCCAGTCAGTCTGTGGAGCACGGTTGAGAAACAATTGCAACCAGGCTGATCCATCTGTAATTGCCGAAATCCGAATGCAATTCTCTCTTGAATATCGGAACTGTAATGGAGCAGCTCTAGTCTGTTAGGACAGTCTCCTGCTTCCGCAGCTTCCCCATTAAGTTGTGCAATTTATTTACAAGAGCAGGTCTCCAACTTTTGAAACTAGCTGGCGAGGTCTATCCGCTCCTGCCGCCTTGTCCAATTTCAGTAGTCTGATAAGACTTTGAATTGCGCGCATGAGGGCTGATCCGGGAAGACGGCCCAGGGAGTAGGACGATCACTGGCGACGCGGAAGTAGGCTACTCTGGTTGATGCAATTGTTTTTCAGTGTTCGACCCAACGCTCCAAGCGTTTTGACAGGCTGCGGATTGGTTGTCCATTCTCGTCGCATCTATGTGAGACGAGTACCAAGTCTCCTGCCCCCTTCTCGCGAACCAGACGGAATGACTTCCTATGGTTACCAATGCCACCGACTGCCGCCATTTCCTATACAAGATGAGGGCACCAGACTTCGCGGTCTATCATCTAGCACGCGCTTTCGCCGTGAGGTTTTTCGAGTGTCCTTGTGTTCGTTTTCAACCAGAACTCCTCGGCAAGCATCGATAAGTACCAGAGCCTGAGTAGAGACCCATTGTCCAGGTTGGCGATTTGTTTTGCCACTCCAAAACATGCATGCTACCAAAAACGTGTGGCGGATATGCGATCAGTAATCTTTAACTTTGTGCAGTGAGCGATTACTCAATCCGCATACCAGCGTACTGTGATTCGCATCCAGAATGTGTGGCTTCACCAGTTTGCAAGTATCTATGTGCTCACGACGTCGTTGCGGAGGTCAACGCAGGTCGGCACATACGAGTGCGTGGTCGGAGTCCACGCTCGTGCCTTGTCACTCTTCTGTGAATGCTGTGTCGAGTTAATTCTCGCGAGAAATAGACGAGCATCTTCACACAGGTATAGCAACCGCTCACCGTTGTCATTACAAGAGCCGCTCAGATGCAGCTCACCAGTGAACAGTTTTCTAACTTGGGCGTTCATATCGCAAGCGAGCACCACAATATCCATGCTCCTGAGACGAAGGATCTCGTTCATTTGGTGATAGAATTCATCTGTCATTTGGCTTTACAGTTTGTAGGGGCATAGGCCGCGATGACAGACACGGCTTTTCCTTGCGCGACTTTGAACAAGCCAGCCAATCTGATGACGCAAATCCCGCTACTGATTGGGATGCAGTCGATCAGGGCAGCTGCAACCCGGGTGTTAAGAGCAATGCCGACACCGACTTGACCGACATTTGACGCTGCGTCCTCCCCGGACAAACGCACTGAGAAAGTGCCGCCCGTAGCGTTTGTGGGGAGTCGCACGGTGCGCATAGCTGGAATCCTGAATACGAGTTTGCAATAAGCAGCAGAGATCGATCGATAGGGTCTCTAGTGTTCGGGCAAGGGCTGCCTGGTGGCCAATATGCAA